ATGTTAGACCCTAAACACCAACTGACCGCAGCAGCATCACTGAAGATGTCCAGGTTGCACCACAAGTACTATTTTCTTTGTAGCGTTGTTGTTCTGTTGAGCACAGAGGTGAAATCAGTGTGTCACTTCCCTGATCTTCTGTTTAAACATCGATTTGTAGAATTGTTTTTAATCACGCTTTCTTTCTGAGGCTGCTAAACACTTTGCCTTTAATTAAACATTGATTTTTCTTTAGTGCACTTCTCACTGACAAATGGCACAACTTCACCAATAACAATATCTGTTCTTATGATGGATCAACAATTACTTTGTGAAGCAAAGAAGCATTCCTTTGAGATCATTGCTTTGAATGGCATTAAATCTTCTCCAGTTAAGAACACAACCATGGAGTTAAACTGGATTTTAAAAAGAAAAAACTAATTAAAGTACACATGGAACAAAAGAAAAGAGAAGAAAAAAGTGAAAACCAGTGAGGCGCCATCAAACAGCTCATGTTCAAAAGAAACATTAGATCGAAAGCTGGACCAGAGTTCCATTAAAAATGATTGAAAAAGCTCTTTTACATCAAGCTATGAATTTACCAAAATAGTGCAAAAGTCTCATCTCCCATCATTTGATTTATAATCAGTGGTGTCATGAGCAAAAAAATGTAGAAGTAATTGTTTATGATTTTCTTTTTGTTTCATTTTTAAACTCGTAACAACACGTTTAGTCTCTTCTCATGACAAAAAGTGTAGCATGAGTCACTTCTTCAAAACCCTGCCGCTAAAAGTGGATTTGAGGAGTTTGTGGATGAAATCTGATCACAGTGAAATTAAACAAAGTGAAACAAATTTTGTTCTCTAAMTAAACAAAACTTCCAACATTAACTGAGGGCAGAAACAAAAGTAAAATGGGACCAAATGCTTTATATGTACCTTGTTCAACATCATATCTTAAACATATTCAAGTGTTTTGTGTTTCAGGTCAAATACAGCTCATAAATAATGATTTTCCTGCCTCTCAGACCAATATACAAATCAAACAGGGAAACGTCGCACATTGAAAATTGAAGTATCAGGTTTTTCTCATCAAAGTGGCGATTTTTCACGGTCTGCAGCTGGGGCGGCGGGGGAACAGGGCGGCACCAAGCACCGTTATTGGACGCAGTCTATTGTCATCAATCACTTGTAATGAATAAATCAATTTAGTCACGGTTCAGAGTCGGTAAAGAGATCAGTTTGCTGAAGTGAAGCTGTGAACATGGCTGTTCCTCAGGCAGGGATCATATGAACTCTGAACACCTCCACACACTTCCTGAGCAGTTTTATGTGATTATAGCAATTTATACCTATACCTGAATGTGAAAGTTAAGCTTGGTTTGTGTTTAATAGGACTGACCAAATGTAAAATGTAAGAAATGAAAAAAAAAAAGAATGTGACTAATATCAAATCGTTCAACACAAAAACAAGAGAGATAAAACATACTGAGAAGTGATGATAAAACCTGATTAAAATGCTGTCAGATTGCAGTAAAACAACTGAAATAGGTAAAAATCTCAATCAAACTGTCTGGTTTCCTTCTTTCACCACTGTCATGAAGATTTCTGAACAACAGAAACTACACAAGAAAATGTTCATAAAAGGCAAGTCCTTTCTCCAGACATTTTTTTAGCTTCTGCTGTGAAAATTGATTTATCCATAGCACTGCCAGTCAAAAAAGTAAAAAATAAATAAATGATAAAATAGGAAGCATCATGCATTTCAGCGAGAAGGTCTTAGGATCACGTCCTGGAGGCCCTTCTGAGGAGTTTGCATGTTCTCATGAACCTAGGGGTTTCCTATATGGATGAAATCACACCAGGAAGATCCGTTGATTGGCTTGTTTTGTTTTGGACCAAAAGCCAACAATTTATTTCGTTAGGTGCAGTTTCACATTTTGCTTTTTTATAAACAAAGCCACRCAGGTGTTGCTCCCAGTGGACAGAAATGACTGGGGTGGGACAGAGCACAGACCCAGAAAGAAAGATGGAAGTCCTGCGTGCTGCAAAAGACTTAGAAACTGTCATAAATGCACATCTTCAAAGCAGGCCGACTTCACACATTTATCTGGAAAAAGCTGAAGTTGCTATGGAAATGCCGTTGTAATTGCACAAATTCAACAGGTAAATGTATGCCTTTATACAGCCCTGATGTGTTTGCTCTAAATTGATTTGTGTTAAACTTTCCTTTAGGATCATAGTTTTCAAAGCAACCTCAGTGTTGACCTGTGACCTGGAAGAGCTAGGCTTCACGATCATGCACATGTGCACAAAAAAACTATGAAATGGTCTGAAATGATCTATTCTGATGTGCTCCTTGGTGTTGTTAGTACAACTGCAACATCTGCTTTTGCATCTGTCCAAATATCGAGGAGGCACAGTCTCACCAAGTTGCTCCATGTCTGTCCACGACTCGTTGTTTGTTGTGGTAGCATTAGCAACACTAAAGGGATCATTTTTACCATGTTTCCTGTTCAGTTTGAGGCCGGTCTGTATTCACAACAGAAGCGAACCACACCAGAGTTCATTTGGAAGCGGACCAAGACCACCTCAAAAGTGGGTCTCTGTCCAGTTGTTTGGTCCACACTGAGTTCGTATGAGTGTATTCACACCTCTAAGGTCTGGACCAATGGGTGAAACGAACTCTGGTCCGTTTAAAGTGAATCAAATGTGTCAGGTGTGAATACGTGTCCCTGTGATGGACTTTGCGTCCTGCAGGAGCCCCACAAGCTCCTCCACAGTGACTGCTGGACATGTTCATGTCCATGTTAGAATAAAGATTGATGGATCTCTGTCCTGTCAGTGAGCATTTCTGATCTGTTTGTCTCTTCATCACAGCTCGCTTTAGCTGCATGATTTGAGAGGAAAAGCAGCGACCCACAGAGCAGACAGGTGTGGGCCAGATCTGGTGTCATGCTGGCTGCTGGCATGGCCCAACTACGATAGCACTGTTTTTTAAGATGGCAGGCCACAACTGGCCCAGTTGTTCTTTGATTTATGCTGGTCCATGAGTGGACTGAAGCGAGCCAGACAAAAGTTTGCTGTGTGAAGAATCCCTTTTCAGTAAAGCCTGAGGACAGACTTTGTTGTTTTCTGGCAGTTCGAAAACTTTTTACATTTCTTACAAAGTCCAAATTCAGTTTGTTCAGGAAAAAATGACATTAAATAATGTGKTTTTTTTAGGTTTATTCAAATTAAATAAAACATTCCTTAGTAGTGGTTAAAAATAAATGTGTATGAATGAGTGAATCTAACTGGTCAGTATGATTAAAGCAGCATCAGGTAAATTTAGTACATCTTAGCAAACAACAGCTCTTATTTTTGTTACATAAAAATAAATGTAACATGTTTGAAAATGAGATTTTTCATACAGGTCATAGAACTGTATTAAATGGACTTAGTTAATATAAAACACAACATTTAAAATTAAATTTATTCTTGTGATCATTTTTTAAATTAGCTCACAGAAAAATAAAAACACACCCTAAAGAGTTTTCCAAGATAACTGCACTTTTTACTAAAACACACAATACATTTTGCACAGGGCTGATACTTTTATAAACTTTTATTGTTTTAGTTTTCTACATTTGTGTTGTAGAAGTCCCATGTTGACTCATTACAGAACACACCTTCTAAAAACCAAAGTTAAAACCAGTTTTAAACAATGACTGTTCAGTCACATTCAGTCATCAGTGCTGAGCTGAAGAATGAGAGCAGCAGGCCTGCTTTGAACMGATCTGAGAGAAGGCGTGTAATCACATGTCACAGTTTGACCAAAGCAGGGAGGAAAATCTGAAATAAAGCTGTCGAAGGACGGGTCAGAGTTCCACCAGGCGGGGACTGCAGATGTCCTCTCAGACCGCTTTGAGATTTTCACCCAGATTCTCTACAGAGAAACACTGAAATGTGAGATGTTTTATGCATTTCCACATGCACTGATACCATTTCTGGTATATTAATTGTTTTAGTGTTTTGTTTTGTTTTATTTTTTTTTTTTTGGGGGGGGGGGTCTAAGTATTATAATAATGTAAAGCATAGTTGCTACCCCAAATATAAACAACTGAATTATTAATTTTTCTTGTAATTTTGTTTTGTTTGCAAACTCCTGGTGAACTGTGGGTCAAACTTTCCTGAAAACAAACCTGTCTTACAGTGGGATTCTAAGTAAAACTATGCAGTTTTTTTTCTTGCAGCTAATGAACAGTTGCAGCCCAAATTGACAATTTTTATACATTTTGAATAGCTTTTATTAAAACTTCTATATTTCAAGTTTCATTGACTTCAAGAAATTATTAGTTATTGGAATAATCTTGATACTGAAATCAAACTTACAGAACACTGTAAATGTTACAAAAACGACAAAAACAAGTTTATGGAAAAAAAGACATTATATGATCATATGCTTTTCAGATAAAATGAGAAATACCTGATGTTGATTTTTGTTTTGATTTGCAAATAAAACAAAAGTTCAAGCTTGAGTCTGTAAACAGTAACAGAACATATACAATTCCAAAAGAATATCAGTGGAAAATGTCCACTCCCGTATAGACTAAAAYGTTGTTTTACTATTGTTTGAATTTATATTTTAAGGGGGGGAAAAAAGGGCCAGATGCCCTTGTCTCATCTCTCTGCTCCCTTTCGGTAAGGACTGCTCTTATTAATTTTATTGTACATAGATTATTTTTGTTTTATTTCAAATGAAATAATGATGATAATAATAAAAGGCAATCTAGGTGGGTAAGGTAATTAGGCTAAATAAATAAATAAATAAATAAATAAATAAATAAATAAATAAATAAATAAATAAATATTCTTTATCTAACTCATCCTGCCTAATTTTCTTAAAGCAGCAGGAGCTAAATGTTTGGTAATATTCAAGAAGGGGGGGTTGACACCTAAATATTTTCCAATTGGACGACTCACCCATGTGATCTCACGGCGCGTGTTTCACAAACACACCTTCCCCACACTCCCCACCAGAGAGAGAAAGGCAGAGAGGGAAGGGGAAGGAAAGTGAGGCGCTGATCACCTTCCAGAGCACAACACGCTGCTCGGTTCAGAAGGTGCTGCTCTCGGTGCCTCGCCGACCACCGGATGGGGTCCACTAGCGTCTCGCTGCGCGTCACCAGGCGTGGATTCAGAGCAGCCGAGCGGCCAACATGTAGCCGCAGACCCACCTGTGATCCGAGCTGGTCCGCCCTGAACAGCCCCGCCTGTCCGCTCTGAAGCTCCCGGAGACACCGCAGGCGGTCCGGAGTCGCCATGAGCTCCAAGGCCGAGCCCAAGCGCCCGGGGGTGGAGAGGAGGCGCAGCCCGCTGGATCAGCTCCCACCTCCGGCCAACTCCAACAAGCCGCTGACGCCTTTCGGCATCGAGGACATCCTCAGCAAGCCGTACGCGAAGAGGAGCCACCTAGCCCCCCGCGGAGAGAACGTCCCGTCGGGGGGGCACAGCCCCACGGGCCGGGAGCTGCTGGGTCAGAGCTCCCCGCTGTGCGCGCTGGAGGAGCTGGCCAGCAAGACTTTCAGAGGGCTGGAGGTCAGCGTCCTGCAGGCTGCAGAGGGTACATTTTCATAACACAATACTATTGTTTTGTTATATCTGTTTATTACAAACGGACAGGAAAAGTGATTATTGCTATTTAAAAAATGTATAAAACACTCTGCGTGAGTTGAGACAATAAAAACAGTAGTTTCTGTAAGAATATTAATGTTTGTAAAATAAAATAAAAAAACAGTAACAGCTCCAACCGCAGCTCAGTCAAATCTTAAATAAATATGCCTAATTGTGATTGTGCTAAAATATTTAAAAGTTCAAAACGAAATAAGTCAAGTTTATATCAAATCAGACACGTGTTGAACCAAAATTATTACACAGGTTAATTAGACTCATTAATAACACGAACTGTTACATGATAAATAATAATAGTATATTTAAATACGTGCTAATGTGCTCCTTGTGTTAGATTTTAGATTTTGTTTGGAATGTGAAACTTAATGAAATGAGAATAAACATAATTATTAGAATTACAGAAATTTTGAGAAAATTAGGAGTCAAGAAACAAAGCAGATAAATGTTTACAACATATTTATTTCTCAAATGAAAATCAGTTTTTCACCATAAAACACAAGACTTAATAAATAAAGAAATAAATAACGGATATTAAATAAGATGCATAAACATTAAGGATTATAAACAAGCCATAGTAATTCAAATTTGGCTAAAAAAGCTCGTTTGAATGAAAAGAAAAACTCTTTTTAAAGGTTCAGCTTTTATGAAGGTGTGAATGCTCATAAACCTTTGGTGAGAATCCCTGAGATTATTTGATTTTTCCTGAGATGTTTTTTTTTTAAATAAACTCTAAAACTAAAACCAGTGAAGGAGAATTTAATTCGTTTATTATAAAGAAAATAAACTGATGCTGTGAAGCGAATGTTATGTCTGAATTATAGTGTTGTTGCTTTAATGTAATTCATAAAATACAGTTTCATTCCGCTGCTGTTTCATTCACGATGAGGCGACATGTGTCTGTCCTCAGGCCGGGACGGAGCGGCGCTCTTCGGTCAGAGGAACGCTCCTAAGAAGCGGCGGAAGTCGCGCACGGCCTTCACCAACCACCAGATCTACGAGCTGGAGAAGCGCTTCCTGTACCAGAAGTACCTGAGTCCGGCCGACCGGGACCAGATCGCGCAGCAGCTGGGCCTGAGCAACGCGCAGGTCATCACCTGGTTCCAGAACCGGCGCGCGAAGCTGAAGCGGGACCTGGAGGAGATGAAGGCGGACGTGGAGTCGGCGCGGGCCGCGGGCACCGTGGCCTTCGACAAGCTCTCCAAGCTGGCCGAGCTGGAGAGGTGCGCGGCGGCGGGCGGGTTCACGCCGAGCCGGGTCTCCGACGGCGGCGGCCTGGACTCGAACGGGCCGCGCGCATCGCCTCCCTCACCCGCAGGAGAACTGAGCAGCGCGTGCTGCTCCGAGGAGGAGGAGGAGGAGATTGATGTGGACGACTGAAAAGTAAAAATAATAAAAATAATATAAGTCTAAGAGGAAAGGACACAGTTAATATTCAGAGACAGTTCACATAAACACTTTAAAGGTACTCAATCCATCAGCACGACATGTAAGGAAATCTGTGTTTGGTAGATAATTTCTTTGTTATAATGCATCTTGGCAATAATTCTTGGAAATCCTGTTAATTTCACTTTTAACTGGTATCACATTTGTAAGGAACATGCATTTGTGAAGCTGAGTGGGTTGTGCACAAAAAATGCCAAATCTTCTCTGCCAAGCATCTTATTTTGTTTTGAACTTCTCCAGATGCTGCCAATCATTTGCCCACTATAAGATTTACTGCCAAGAAGCACTCACCCCTGGAGGCTGTAACTTTTAATGAAGGTAACCCAATCTTTACAGAGAGGCCTCATATTGGTAAGACACACTGACTCTGTTCCTCTGTTTAAAGCACATCGCTGCTCAAATGAAATACACGACTGGGTGTTCAATTCAGTTCGTCGCTCACAAAATTTCCTTCAGTGACAAAGAAATAATCTATCCAACTCAAATTTACTTACATTTTGTGCTAAATCAAATCGTGTCATTTAAGACTTTCCATCAGTAGCTGTTTTTTCAGATATATTGATATCGAATTCTGAAACGCTGGTACACACTCAATGTAAACAAATATGTGTGGTCACAGTCTTAGCAGGTCGGTGGTGTCCAGTCCTCCAGGGTCAGCATCCTGCAGGTTTTAGAGGTTTCTCTGCAACTCCTGAATGAATGAATGAATGAATGAATGAATGAATGAATGAATGAATGAATGAATGAATGAATGAATGAATGAATGTGTAGTTAACAAGCTTCTGTAGAACTTGCAGAGGTAACTCACTCACTGAATCAAGTGTGTTGGAGCAGGGGTTCAAGTGAAACACCAACAAATATGCTGGAATCGAAAACAACAATTTGGTAGAAAATTTAAGAGTTAATTTGCTGCTAGATGTGAAAGAAAAGAGAAACAACGATCACGACTAAATATTGGGGACCAAGCCAGACGGGGTTCAAATTTCAAACAATATTTTTGTGGATTTCCTGCCAACCGTGATTTTAATATTTATTATTATTATTAATTATCTTTTTATCTGCACACTTTCCTCAAAATACGCACCGTTACATCAATATGTCAATAGATGTTGATGTTGTTGACCTATAGTTTCTTTAGCTGTTTCTGTAAACAAGTGCATGTGTTCACTGGCAGCCATTTTGATCACCTTGAACCAAAATAACCTGTTTTTTTTTCCTAAGAGGAATATAATAGGGATTTTGATTCCTACGTCACAAATTACCTGTATTTTTCATGACGTTGCAACGAGTACCTTTAAATGGTTTCAGTGAAGCTTTTTGTAAGTTCAAGGGGAATGTTTTTCTTTTTTTTCTGTTTTAGAGACGATAATCAGTCCAGATTTGATATATTTATAACACTTTGTACTCTTGAAGTGCCTTCAGAGTGAGCTGCTGCAGCACACATGTAGAAAGTGTAAAAATCCTGATTATGTCAAATAAAATCAGACATTTAAATAATTTAAACAGTGTTTTTGGTTGAGGCATTTTTTTTTTTGTCATAATGTTTCAAACCAGTCTCCAGCTTTCTTCTGGGAACCATTTTTGATTTTGCGCTGCAGCCTTAGGAGTGACGCGCACGCGTGCGCCTATTCGAGGTGGCCTCCGGCGGTTATTTGTGCACAAAGGTGGCCCCGCAGACAGCGTGTCGGAGACCATATGGTTCCGAGATGGTCCTCTTCAATTACAAGACACTTTGATGGATTAACTTAACCTGCCTTTTGGACAATTAGACCCCCTTTTTTTGTGTCGCGCTCAGCGCAGCCGTGGCCCCACTGACTCGGAACACAAACATGAATGTGAATGTGCCTCAGCAGGTCCTCTGAGCTCCTGGCCTCATCTGCACTCCRTTAGGTTCCAAGCTGATGCATGTCAAATTATCAGAGCACAAATTTCTATATTTTTCATCACATGCACACTATTATTTACTACTGTAAATTTGATTCATTTCAAGTTTAGTTCTRTCACTTAAAAAAATGCAAAACTCAAAATGATAAAACCAACAAATTAATAAAAAAGACTGGCGGACTTAATTTAAAAATATTRTGTCAGCTCGTCACACTAAACTGAATTAAGTAAAGGTAGCAAATTTACATTACATTAACTTTAAGTAAATCTGGTTTAGTGGAAACGGTTGACAATTTTTTTTCAATTAAATTAAATCCACTTTCTGTTTTTTGAGTGTAGTTACTAGCTAAGTAAAAATAGAAAACATTGGGAGAGCGTAAAACAACTATATTAAACACTAAAATGAAATGCATTTATAAAATGTTAAATGTGGGCTGTGTCAATGAGAGAAGTTCTAAATTGTGATTTAAAAGTGTCACAAACTTTAACAGGAAACTGAGTTCAGAACAGAGGAACCAAAATCCCAGAGACAACAAACAGAAATCCTGCATCCTGAAAGTGGTGTGTTCTTGTGGGGAGGCATGGGTTCAGGAAGTCTTTGCTAAATGGAGATTCAAACTGGACTCAAAATGCGCAGCTGGTGGAACGATTCTTAGAAGTTATAATCTGTGTAGACGTTYGTTGATGTTCATACAAAAACAAAGTATTTCCAAAATAATGTTTTTTTATGTGTGGTTTGTAAAAATGTCCTCATAAATGCAGCTCCATTTCTAAAAATGTCTTGAAAACACCAAAAAATGATCCAAAATGCTGAAGAGTCTGTTTGTGGTGCTGTAAAAACAACACAATAAACAGAGAATAAGACAGGTGTAAAGTTATGCTGCGTGCAAAATGTAAACACGCAAAACAAGGAAAAGGTCGCCCTTAGGTTATAGGTTGAAACAAAGGCGGGGCTGTGACATCATCATATTTAATACTGCATTTTGGTGTCCCACTTGGAAAATATAATGGTCACATTTCCAAGGTGAATTTACTCTGAGACCTGTTTATTTTTTAATACAGTTTAGATGTTCCTAAATCACTGTGTTGACACAAGTCCAATACAGTAAAAAAAAAAGTAATTAAGATTTTGCAAGCTAACAAAAATGTTCTTGTGTGGACAGTCCTTGTGTTTTTCTGTTTGTGCCAAGAACAAGAACCTAATTATCATACAATAAACAACTACTGGTCAGCTTTACAAGCTGGTCAGAGTCATCAGGCTTCAGCCGAGTGTCATCAACAGCAAATTTAAATGAAATACAACCAAGTCTACTTTTCCACTGAAGCTTTTTATCTTATGTTCAACATGATTARTAATATATACAAATATTTAAAGGTAGATCCAGGGGTTCACGTCTCCAACAGTCTAATTAAAATGGTGAACAGTGATTTGCTTTAACAGACAACACTTTTATCTTTTTTGTGAGGTGCACCACATTTGTATATACACACAAACACACACACTATGTCTCTCTGTCCTTGTGGGGACGTTCCATTGACTTCTTTTCATTTTTTTTTGGAAACTGTATAGCCTAACCCTAACCATTTACCCTAAATTAACCTCACATTACCCTAAAACTAACCTAAACTCAATTCACACCTTAGTCCTAAACCGAACCCCCAACCCATAAATGAAGTTCCACCATATTAGGACCGGTCTTTGGTTCCCATTAAGACTACTGGTCTTGACAAGGTAGGTGTGTATAACAGAAATGGTCCTAAATAGGTAACAAAAACAAGTACACACACASASASAGAGAGAAACACAGAGTAATCATTGATTCATTCAGCCATTAAATTGAAGTTTGATGCCCCCACCCCCTCACCAACCCCCTGTTTAAACCATCAGACCTGATTCTATTCCCCCTCCTCTTTTTCCTCCTGATGGGCTCCAACACCATCTGAGACCTTTCAACACAACAAATCTGCTGGAAATGTTCAAATGTTCCAACAAACAACTGTTTCAACTCACATTCATGTGACCAGCTTTCATCAGTTCCACTTGAAACTTTTCATTTCTTGGTGTTATTATTATTATTAGTAGTAGTGGTATTCACC